CACCGAGCACCTCGTCAGCCTTCGCCCTGATCAGCTCCCAAGCACTCGCCACGTGGCGATGCTCGGTGAGCGTCGCCCCCACCGCGAAACGCAGCACGTACTTCCCGCCCAACACCGTGTGCGTCACGTACGCCCTCCCGCTGCCGTTGACCAGCGCCAGCAGCCTCCGGTTGTCCGCCTCCGCCGCAGCCTCCTCTCCGCCCCAAGCCCTGATGCGGAAGCACACCAACGCGAACCTCCGCGGAGCCACCACCTCGAACCGGCGGTCCGCCCGCACCATCCCCTCGAACGCCCGCGCCATCTCCACGTCGCTCCGGATGTGCGCCTGCAGCCCCGCGACGCCGTACGTCCGCAGCACCATCCAGAGCTTGAGAGCTCGGAACCGGCGACCCACCCCCACCTGCAGGTCCTTGCAGTCTACCACCAGGCCGGACTCGCTGGGCCCGTTCTTGAGGTACTCCGGGTTAGTCCCCAGCGACTCGGCCAGCCGCGGCCGGTCCCTGAGCCACAGGCAGGTGCAGTCGAGGCCGGTGAGCAGCCACTTGTGGGGGCTGATGCTGAGGGAGTCCGCTCGCTCCACCCCGTCGAGGAAGCGCCGGAACTCGGGGCAGATGCACGCGCTGCCCGCGTACGCCGCGTCCACGTGCACCCACGCGCCGAACTCGGCGGCCACATCGGCGATGAGGCCCAAGGGATCCACTGCAGTGGAGGAGGTGGTCCCCACGGTGGCGCAGACGTAGGCGGGCACAAGACCCGCCGCTGCGTCGGCCGCCATCGCGTCGCGGAGTCGGGCCGCCACAAGCGCGTACCCCGAACCGGGTCGAGTCGGGATCAACCGGACGTTGGTCTGGTCGAACCCGGCGATTCTGCATGCCTTGGCGAACGTGGAATGGGTCTGGTCGGAGCCGTAGGCCACGAGGCGGCTGATCGGCACGCCTCCGGCCCGGCGCACCGCGCCGTCGCGGGAGGCCACGAGAGTGCAAAGGATGGCCTCGCTGGTGGTGGCGTGTATGACGCCGCCGCCTCCACCGCCGCTGTCCGAGGAGGATCGAAAAGCAGGCGGCAGTCGAAGCAGCTGCGCCAGCCAGTCAAGTACGAGCTCCTCGAGCTCCGTGGCAGCAGGACAGGACAGCCAGGTGAAGGCGACGGGGTTGAGCGCGGAGGCGATGAAGTCCCCGACGAGGGCCGCGGAGCCGAGTGTGGCCGGGAAGTAAGCAAAGAAGTTGGGGCTGGCCCAGTTGGTCATGCCGGGAAGCACCGCACCGCGGATGTCGCGGAGGGCGTCCTCGAGGGTGGCGCCGCAGGGGGGTGGGGCGGCCGGCATGAGGTGGCGGAGGTAGCCGGGCTGCACTTGCGGCAGCACGGGTTGCGTGTCCACGTTCTTATAATAGTCCACGATGAAGTCGACGGAGAGCAGCAGTTGCTCTCTAAGATCATCGAGGTCCAAGGGCTTGAAGCCATCAATGGTAACCACGGGGAGGTTGGCATCAAGGCTTTCCATGGCACACGAAGAACGAGGAAGAAGGCTGATAGGATGAAGAGAGCGGGAGGGCAGGTTGGGCTCGTTATATACAGGCGAAGAACGGTGGGTCGGTGGGTTGGTGCAGAAGCAGAGGGAGGATCAAATGCGCCGAGGAAACACGGGGGATGATAGAGGTGGGGCACGGTCGCTTCAGATAGGGGTTTGACCCGAGGAGACGGG